TATATATATATATATATATATATATATATATAGTTTGCGAGTTGATAATTAATAGTCTTCTAGTAATACAATTTTACATTTTGTTCAGAATGTAAAGAGAAGATATGTAGTCATGTGTTAGATGTGTGCCTACATATGCATGTGTTGTATTGTGTTATGTGTTTCAGTGTTAATAGTTTACCGAACTTCGTCACAACCCCTCATTATTGCTCAAACACAATGCCTAGTTATGGCTTTGACAGTTTTATACATCTGTTCCAGTTCTCTCTAAACATGCTAATAGTTTATCTACGCCGATGTTTCTTTTTGGTTTGTATATGTCATGACATTTGAATTTTCAAATGCATTACAGATGCAACATTTTTGGGAAATGATGTTTAATTTCGTCTATTTATTTTTCGATTGACAAGAATGGACATAAAATATACATATATTTTGACTGAACCTTATCAGATAATAATATTTGGTCATTTAATGTTAAAGTGCATTTTTAATCAATGCGTTTTAGTTTTTATTCTGCTGTATTTTGTTTTAACATTTTTGGTAATGTGTTAGAAAAAAAGTTTTCACCAGAAAACTTCTATCTGTATTTTCGTTAAATTGCAGCTCACCCTTAAACTTTCACGTTAATAATTAAGTTAGACTTTATAAGACCCATAAACCCAAGGGCTTTTAGATAATTGACTATTCTCCCTTGGGATTAAAATGAAGAAGAATAAGTCGAAAACGTTCGAGATTCTTTGCCTTTTTAATTCTACTTCATTTTTTATAGTCCTTTGTGATAATTCTTTCATTATGACGTTAGCAGTCAGTTATTAGATATTCCATAAAAGAGCGATTCACAATTTATACAAACTTTCCGTAATGACATCTCTTTGTCACTCTTGTCAAGTTAACTACTTGATTTTTCCTGACGTGAAAATATAGTGCACGCTTGATTCGCATATTCACAACATGGTCTGGATGTTCTTTTCCACTAGATGAATTGGGTGAACCGGAGCAGGAAGTTAACATTTCCAGTATGGAAGAGAGCCAGTTAGTCCTCATTGCTTCTTTATTCGAAGACGAGTTTGATTTTGAGTAAAGTGATCATGAAACAGTCCAAGGTCTATTTAAAAGTATAACTTTTTTTTTTGTACGTGATAAGAATAATTAACATGCGATCAATTACACTGTAGAACAAAACGGAAATTTGTTTGTTTGGAACACTTTCTGCATTTTTTAAAGTAAATGATGCATTGATACATTTCCTATGACATAGTTGAAGTAGTACAGACATTCATAGTGAACACATTCCAACAGATGAAATACAAACACGTTTCCTTTATTCCACATCGCACTCCAGTTTTCAGTGACCGTCGAAAACAATCTATTTTTAGGAACACATTCTCGTAACCATTTTCTGTTTATTATGTCATTGGAAACGCTTTGCGATCGAACCCTGACTTGTTCAATATACGAAATGACAAACGTTTTGTTAGAAGTAAACAGACTGTAATCGTACTTAACTTATATTCTCTCAGGGAATTCGAAGTGGAAGTTTAAAAGTATAAGAAAATTAGATACGGAAACATTTGCCGAAAAATTTACGAAAACAATGTGATACAAACCAGAATTAATAGATTCACATTTCTATTAGCCATAAATTAGAGTCTAGTGGTGGAGTAATTGTGTTTGTTTTTTTGTTAATAAGTATCACTTATATTAAGGCTATTAAATCATATACCTAATATCGTTGTTATTTAGCACACTTTGTAACTTTTAATAGATATAGATTGCAAGGTCATGGGGACATTTAAAAAAAAACTTTTTGAGGGGATAATAACTTTAAATCAGCCTTATTATGCTGTAATATTCAGTATTTGCATGACCACCAATTAATTTGAAATGTGTTCTTGAAAGATAAAAATAAGTTTCAATCTTCTGTGACATTATTACTTATTAAACTTTTTTTCTGAAAAATTGCTTTTCAATTTTCGCACCATAAAAGTACTCTCGTTGCCATTTTTATTCATTTACTTGCTTACATTGTCATCTAGGATTTAATTATAAATTGTTCTTCCTGTTTCTATCCACTTAGAGTAATTACTGTAGATCTGAACTTAATGGAAAACAGAGTAGTCTTCTAAGTCACAGGCATTGTATATAATTATTGGCTTGTACCAAATCTTGCTTGATTGCACTCAAATCTATCGTTTCTGTTTAAATTGCAAACAGTTGTAGTTTGTAAGTTTTGTAAAGGACAGTGTTTTCTACAGTTCCTCCACATTGACTTTGTTTTATTTTGTCAAGCAATAAAACGATAATGAATTTCAGTGACCCAATTTTATGAACAGTAAGAATCAAAACCTCCTTTAAACATTGTTTCTTGTGCTGCCACCTACTGATTCAAAAGGAATAATATGTATATTTACGGATATTTATTATGACCTTGCTGATTGACAATATTGTTGTTTTAGGATTAATGTTCATTAAATAATTGTTGTTCTTAACGTTTACTAGGTGTGTAAAACTCTAATTCAATATTTGCTGTCTTTTCATCATATTGTATATTTTCCATTATAACAACAGGAGGACTACATAAGGTTAGTCCGTACTGTATAATTTCATCTTTCTGGAGTAGTATAATCATGTATGTCTGTATATATTTGTTTGATGTAAATCGGTGTTTCTTTTCAAATAAAATCTGCTCTTCGTGTTCAGTATATAATGCTCTGTCATTTATTTCTAGGTAAAAGTTAGACTTAAAAATATTTAATCCTATATTACATACACTACTAATAGGACAATCCAAAACCCATGATTTGTAACAGTGAAGTCTTACAATTACAGTAGCTTTCAGTTGAAAGATATAATAATATAAATCGTGTTCATGAAAATATTACAATAACTTTGTAAACAGTACACAATCAACTAGATGGGGCTTTCTTTTCCATGGTCTTGCGGACTTTTGAAATTACATTCAATTGTAAAATTGATATTACTTCTATCTCGGAAGAACTTAAAACAGAAATATATTCATATATATATATATATAGGAATTTGACCTATTTAACTCCACCTTTAAGTGATATAAAAAACTATCTCAATAAAACAGTTTAGTCATAAACATATTTAGGTGTTAATTAGGGTTCGACTTAAATACAAGTCGTTTTTCCTTTTTGCTAAAAGTTAAATGCTAATGCAGCTGGAATTAAGACGTCTAGTTTTAACTTGATCAAAGTTAAAGCTATAACACATAAGAAGTAATACCATAAATGAAGAGAGGCTTCTCTTTGGTTTACCACATCAGAAATAGTGCAATACACGAAGAGACATCTCTTTTTCTGATGTGGTAAACCAAAGGTACTATTTCTGATGTGGTAAACCAAAGAGAGATATCTCTTCATGTATTGTACTACCGTAAGAATGAAACCTTAGACGATGGCTAACTGTTTGTGAGTATACGTATGATTTTTTTATCAACATCTCTAAGTCTCTATAGATCTTGTGTGACGTCTTCTGAAGGAACCTGAAGTATGAAAGACAATACTTTTTCAACATCGGTCAATATTATTAATTACCGAAATAGTTGATTTTATTCTAATACACTCACAAGCATTT